TTTTGTCTGAATTTTCAGAAACAATAGTCAGAAACAAAAGTTGAATGTCAGAAATGTGAAATTTTGCATGCTTCCAGCTTTTTTTAAATGGGATGCCCTATATTTCATTCTATATTCTTGAAGAGCACAATGCTCCGATCTATATTTGATTGAGCAATCTCTCATACAGGGTGTCCCACGGTGGATGGCGTATTAGACGTTTATGGAGAACTAAAAAGCGGATCATTTTGAAAATTTGGCAACCGGGATAAATGACCGTGATCTACACTTTAAAAATATTTTTGTTTATGCGGTGTTGCCGCTTCTACTCTAAACCAGTGGCAACATCGCTATTTTAAATGAAACACCCCGTATTTAATTGCATATTTGGATTCTACATAAAATTCTGAACAGATTTCATGCGATATACCCTATACCTAAGTTTTGGAAATATTGACAGTTGAAAATTGACTTTTTGCAACTTTGACAGGCTGTAAAACCTGAACGGTTAATTTTAGAGAAAACCGATTTTACATTCCTATCTTAGATTTTTATAAACTATCATTTGACACCAATTTTGAATTTAATCCATGATTAAAAATTCCAATTAAATTTAATCATTAAAATTTGAGGTAAGGTAAAATGCTAGTTATTGATATCCAGCTAGTTATTGACACTTCCTACAAAATATTGGTTTTTAAGAAAATGTGCCTTGTTTTGTGTTAAATTCCTTCATAAACTTCTTCCTTTATCAGTTTGGCAACACCGCATCGGCCGCCAGGCATAATTATCGGACCCGGCGTTAACAACACACGTGTTAAAGTTTTCAAAGTGTGCACAGTGATATATGTGGCTTAATCAGATTCTTAAGGTGAGTAAGTTGTTCAACCTTAATTTAAAAAGTTTAATTCTTAAATATCTGGTATTGGTAGTGAAATCAGATCTATAAAATAGACTAAAAATTCAAAATAAGGAGTAAAAACATAACCTAACAAAAGGAAACTGTGAAAAAATGAGTGTCAATGACTGAAATGCATATATGTATACCAAGACCAGTGATTGACACCCTGTCAAAGACTGACTTATGAGATATTTTTAAGATTTAGTTTGCATTAAGATCCTGAGGTGAAGACGATGTTGCCAATTCAAGTTTTTTGTTTTTATTTCAAGTAAATCCAGTTATTGACTGGGGTGTCAATTATTAGATGTCAATTACTAGTCTTCAATTTAATTTTTTTTTCAGATTAACTATGACTCCGAAAAAAAACTATACGCAAGACCAAATGAACCAAGGGCTAGAGCTTGCTCGTCAGGGAGTTCCCATTGCAGAAGCTGCCAGGAGAACAGGGGTACCACGCGTCACCTTACTTTACAAAATGTCGGGGAAAGTACCAGAAGTTTGTTCAATGGGTCCTGCTGGGAGTCTAAGCCCTGATGAAGAACAAGTGCTAGTTCAGTGGATATTGGAACTGTCAAAGATACATTATCTGGTTTCAAAAGTACAATTATTTGATAGTGTGGAATATTTATTAAAAAAAAAACCCAGAAAAAATTACTTTATTAATAATAGACCAGGTGATACATGGTTCAAAAACTTCATTAAAAGGCATCTTGAATTAACTACTCGAGTGTCACAAAATTTAACAGTATCAAGAGAAAGTGTCACCGAACAACAAATAAGAAATTGGTTTGCTGAAATACAAGAATATTTAAACACCCAAAATATATACCAGCTTACCAATGAGCCAGACAGAGTTTTCAATACAGACAAAAGCGCCTTCTTTTTCAGTCCCAAAGGCGATAAAGTAATTACTAGAAAAGGGGCCAAAAGTGTGTACAATGTTTCAGGCGATGAGAAAGAGAACTTAACAGTTTTGGTCACCGCAAATGCTTCGGGAAAAATGGCTCCACCAATGGTTGTCCTGAGCTACTCAAGGATTCCTGGTCACATTGCTGCATCTGTTCCTTCAGAATGGGGCATTGGAACATCAGAGAATGGTTGGATGTGTGGCCCCACTTTTTTTGGGTATATAACGAATGTCTTCCTTCCCTGGCTAAAACGTGAAAAAATACCAAGACCAGTATTGCTCTTTATGGATGGACATGTATCACACATGACCCTTCACTTATCTGAATTCTGTGCAGCAAATGGAATTGTTTTAATTGCCCTTTTCCCTAATTCTACGCATTTATTGCAACCTATGGACGTCTCAGTATTTCGCCCATTAAAAAATGCATGGAAAATGGAAGTGCAACAATGGAGAATGGAAAATTCTGGAGTCAAATTGCAAAAGCAAAATTTTTGTCCAGTTTTCAAAAAAGTTTGGAACATATTTCTCCAGAAACAATTCAAAACGGTTTTAGAGTATCGGGACTATGCCCCTTTAATGTGGAAAACGTTGATTTTCTAAAGATTTCATCCAATAAGACAATTAATGTAAATGAACCTGTCAAGTCAAATGAAAAAGAGTTAAAAGCTTTTTTAAAAAATCTTGAAGAGAAGATAGGTCCCGAAAAAATGGAAAATTTTAAGAAGTTATTAACATCTGCAGATGAATGCGCAACAGAAGATACATCTCTTTTTTTATGGTGGAAATCTGTGTATCAAGAAACCACTGTATTTCAACAAAACAAAACAAGAAAAAGAACAGTGCCAGAAACTCAGGACGGAGAACAAAGTGATGTTAACATCGCAGAAAATGATTCATCAAATGCTGATTTGAATTTAACATGTACTGAAATGACCAAAGAAAAAATACCAGATAAGAAAAAAATCTAGGTATTTAAAGCCTGGACCCGCTGAAATTTCTTCCTCTCGAGTTTCTTTAGACAAAAATGATGAGGAAGAAAATTATTCAATACCTGGACCCTCTGGAATTTCTTCCTCTGGGGTTTCTTTAGAAGAAAATAATTTAAGTGTAACACAAATACATTTAAATAATGGGGAAAAAAGTCCAGTGGCAGGACCCTCTGATATTTCATTTAATGTTTCCCTATTTCAAGATCCTGAAACTCCTGAAAAGTTAACTGCAGTAAAATCAAGTACAGCTAAACTTCCTTTTGAAGTTCCTTCTCCATTTAAGCAAGCACTTTTTTGGCCTGAAGAACAACCTAATACTAAGAAAAGGAAGAATAAAGAAAAAATTCCATCTGTAGTGACATCGAGTGCATGGTAGGCATACCATCGAAAAAAGGAAAATGAAAAACAAAGAAAAATAGAAGAGAAAAAAGAAATATTAATTTTGAGAGAACAGAAGGCACTCCAAAAGCAAAAAGATACAGAGACAAAACAAAAATTCAGTGAGAAAAGAAAGAAAACTTCAAAAAGTCTACAAAAAAGAAAACCAGTAGGATCAAAAAGGAGGAAATATATAAGTGACTCAGATTCTCTTTCAGAAGAGTGGGAATCAAGTGGAGAAAGTGATGAGGAAAGTTTTGAACTGAACAGTGATGAAGAAATAAACATAACTAAATTAAAGAGTTCTGAAAAGGAAAACATAGTCCTTGAAAAAGAAAATATCCAAGGGGGTGACTATATATTAGTTAAGTTTCCTGGCAAGAAAAACTGGAAGAATTTTGCTTGTGTTGTTCAAGAAATATTAATTAATTCTGAAGCTGAAGTAGTAGGAATGATTTGTTGTAATGATAAAAAAACTACATTTAAGTTAAATGCAACTGATGTATCTGTAATAAGTTTTACTCAGATTATTAAGAAATTGCCTTTCCCAAATATGATAGTATCAGGTGATAGGGTAAAATATGTTTTTCCAGAACCTGTAGATGTATCTGATACTATTTTTTAGACATACCTACATGTTAGTTTTTTGTTATATGGCATTAGTTAAATTTAAGAGAAAAGTTCTTAACTGATTTTGGAAAATAAATTAATACTAAGTAGTACTCAATAACTGGGTGTCAATTACTAAATTTTGGGAAAATATCCATGTCAATCACTGGTATGGAAAACATCAAATAAAAAAAAAATCACAGTAATGGAAATAAGGTCACTATATTGAAAGTTTAATAATAAATTAATAAAAAAATCTCCAAAGATCAATATAAAAATATAAGAAACACCTTAAGTGTTTTGCTAAAAAAAAAAAAAAAATGCTGAAGAGTAATTATGTCCCTTATAGTGTCAATAACTAGCGTTTTACCTTACTTGGTTTCTTTGATAGTATTTTTGAAATTTTTAGAACAAAATATGTTGGAGACGCCCTCGGAGACGGCTCAACTAAATATAGAGAAATTATATGTATAGTATTGGAATCGAAAAGTTGTGCTCTTCAAGAATATAGAACCAAATATAGCGTATCCCATTTGAAAAAAGCTGAAAGCATGCAATATTTCACATTTCTGACATTCAATTTTTTTTTTCTGACCATGGATTCTAAAAATTTAGCCAATGCCAATACTAAAAAAACTAATCCAGATGTCCAATATAAAAAATTGCCCATTGACACTGGTTTCATTTATATCCAATTTTTTCCCTAAATTCAGGAATTTCTTGAAAACAAAAATAGATTCCTGAAGTAAATATTTTAAGCTTCAAATTTTATATGAAACACTTTCTTCTAGAAATTTTGGAAATTGCAGAAAAAAATTAATTCATATGTATATGTCCAATTTGAAAAATTGCTCATTGACACTGGTTTCATTTATTTCCAATTTTTTCCCAAAATTCAGGAATTTCTTAAAAACAAAAATAGATTCCTAAAGTAAATATTTTAAGCTTCAAATTTCATATGAAACACTTTCTTCTAGACACTCTGCAAATTGCAGAAAAAAATTAATCCAGATGTCCAATTTCAAAAATTGCCCATTGACACTGGTTTCAGTTATTTCCAATTTTTTCCCTAAATTCAGGAATTTCTTAAGACCAAAATTAATTTCTTAAAGTGCATACAAACTTGACACAAAATACAAATATAAAATTTAAGAAATAATCAATTTAAAAACCAAGTTAAAAACTCTCAATTCAAATGGGATAAATTTGAAAATAAAACTAAGTTCCCACTTACATATCTATTAAGTTTCACTTCCAACTTCCTCGTAGACTTATCGGTAAGACTCTCCACTAACTGCAATATCTTAGCCGGATTAGAAAGTTCAATTTTCGCTATAGAAACCTCCTGCTCGATCTTTGTATCTTCCAAAACTTCATTGCCGAGCTTTTTACAATAATTCGGCGATATAAACAAATCAGGATCTGGCTCCTGCTTCGACATAATGCTATCAACTGTGTGAGATAATTTTTCTTAATCGCACTGAGAATTTAATTTAATTTAGATTAGATAAACCGAATAAGGATAGTTTTATGATTAATGACGAAACGTGACATGACATAATCCGGGATTAAATTGCGGCAATTAATTAACTTAAATGATTTTAAAAGCACGACAAACTGCCCTTTTATTCCAATTAGGTTTTCCGTGCAGCTGGGGTTTTATTATTGGGTCTTGGATCATTTTTCACTTTTATTTGCCGAGTAAATATTATGGCACTTTTATTATAGGAGGGCAATATTCCATATGGAGAGGATAATAAATGGAAATAATAAATATAATAGAAATTTTATTATTTTTGTTTGTTTTGATTTAGGGGGCTCCTAGTACGCAAGCCCCATTCATTGATTTATTTTGGAAATTGTGGCTATTTGATTGGTTGAAAAAAAGCACGTGCTTATGAAGTATTAATCGTTTATGTAAAAAATATATCTCTTTCTCTTTTTTGCAAATGGTAACAGAGTGAGACAATTATAGTCGGCCATTCTAGTTGTCAGCCTTTGTGAAAGTGAACGCATTCAGCCGACGTACCTTTGGCCAGTCAACAACATAACCTTAAAAAAAACACATTTTGTTGTTTACCTACAAAAATGCATTTATAAATTATTTTCAAAAAGAAAAATTTATAAATTCAAATAAGAAAAAGTATATTTTAATATAGGAAAACGCGAATTTGTGTAATTAATTATCAAACTTGTTTAGTTTTATGGCAAATCAAGTTGAAATTCAGTAGAGAAAATGCAGGTTTCCGAGCCCAACGATGTGAAAATTTACAATTTGAGTGCTGGGAAGTCTTTGCCAGAGGTAAGAATTGAATTTTTCAATTTATTCAGGTACTTAAAACTTCTAGAAGTCTTTTGGTTTCGATTTTTGAAAACTTTCAATTTTCCTGGGATCATTTTGGCTTCAAATCCCAATAAATCACTGTATGGGGTTTCTGGAATACTTTGTTTAAGTGATTTGCAGTATTTAACTATTTTTGCATGGATTCGTCTCAACTTCATATAACTTTTCCACAAAGAAGAAACTTCAATTCATAAATCACAAAAGGTCTGCAAATTTAGTTTGGAGCTTCAAATCAAGTTCAAATTAACTTTTCCACAAAGAGGAAACTTCAATTCATAAATCTAAATCCTAAAAGTTTCAAGTCACTGTGATTGTTATAAGTATTTTGCACAAGAGATTTTTGCAGATTTTAATAAAATGCATGCATTAACTCATTAATTCAAAAACTCTTTATTTTTATGTCAGAACGACTCTCGGAACGACTCATAACCCCTTGGTAATTTCTCTAATTTCTCTCCAATTCCCCTAATTTTTCTTATTCCTAAACTAATTTTATAATGTCCAGCTAAATCTATCATGTAAAATTAACTACAAAATAGTGTAAAATTCAAGCATATCTCGAGGCATATCTAAATGTTTTGAAGGGTTTTACGGTATGTACAACAAAAGATATCTTTATGCAATAGCTATTTACCTAACAAGTGCGGAAAGTGAATTTTTCCGCACGCGGCTGCCGTTCACCGAACGACGCGTAGCGGAGTTCGGTGATGCAGCCGAGTGCGGAAAAATATTTTCCGCAAGTGTTAGGTACAATATTTTTCCTACAGGCGAAAAAATGTAAAATTTTTTTTTTTTTTTTTGACATATCAGTGCGGTAAAATTTTTTCCGCACTGACAGCCGTGCGGAAAAACTTTTTCCGCACTGATATGTCAAAAAAAAAAGTTTTACCGCACCGTGCGGGAAAACTCATTTTCCGCACGCATATCAGTGCGGAAAATCGATTTTTCCGCGCGGCTGTAGGAAAAAGATATTCCCGAATTTCAAATTTCCTTACATATCTCAGACTACCACCCTAGGTCCTTGGAATTATATTATGATTTAGATTTTAAAAAACTTTCAGCTTCATATCTGAGAATAATTTAGTGTATGGAGTTTGGGGGATGTTTATTGACCATTAGGATACAAAATCTCAACAAAAAAAATTTGAAATTTCATCGTTTTAGTAAGAAGGAAGGAAGTTGCACTTATAGTTCCTGAGATAAAATCATGTTAAGCAATTTGGGATGATTTAAGTATCAATTTTTCAATTTTTCTGAGTGCCTTTTTTCATAGATTTCGACTTCAAATCTGAGAATAATTTAGTGTATGCAATTTGGGAGATGTTGACTGACCATTAGGATACAAAATCTCGACAAAAAAAAATTGAAATTTCTTCGTTTAAGTAAGAAGGTAGCTTATGATTTAGATTTTGGAAAACTTTGAAACGTCATAGCTTTTTTTCTATTCAAGATATAAAGCTGAAATTTTTAGAGATTCTTATTCCAGTAGAGGACTACAATCCCTGAAAATTTCAACTCATTTGCACTTATAGTTCCTGAGATAAAATCGCGTTAAGCAATTTGGGGTGATTTATCAATTTTTCAATTTTTCTGAGTGCCTTTTTTCATAGATTTCGGCATAGAATAATATACGTTGAATAGAAGCGTAAAGTTTACGGAGTGTTTTTTACCTATAGGCGGCACTGCTCTCCGAATTTATTTCGAATTTATTTAGCTTTCTGTGGAGATATTGAGAGCAACGTTGCCATATTATTACGGCCGATACCGCGCACAATGCACGGTAACTGATAAAAGTGCGTATTCACTTATTAGGATTCAGAAAGATAAACAAGTCTCTCGAAATAATAAACAATATTAGAAAAATAGGTATTTCTTCAACTTCCGTGCATTAATTATATTCATTTTATTTTAATCGAAAAATAAAGTTCACACAAATCGGAATAGGCGGGTTTAGGTTTTTTATTTAGATCAAGGAATTTCTTTTATGCAAAATTTACGGAAAAATTTTGATATTTAAATTTAAAAAAATTGATTCTACTATCTACTTCGTAGACTAAAAAAGCGGCAAAAATGTTCCAATATTTTTTTTCCAGGTACCTATAACTACATGAAACCTTTGCAAAATGATGGAATAGGTCCATGGCTATCTGAAATGGCCAATTACAAATTTTTTTACTAGTTCCAACAATTTTTATATCGAAAAATGTCATAGATATGTCAAAATTCGGTTTTCATACTTTTTCACACATACCTCGCGATATCTCCGGAACTAAGAAAATTTTGTTTTTCTGAAAAACTCGCTTTATTCGTGAAACTAGGTAAAATTTTATCTTAGACTTTTTATGCAGTATTTTTTTCAGTAAGCGAGAAACTTTTTTGTTTTAAGGATTCCTGACATACTATCAGCGAATGAAACAAAGCTAAGACATCAAGGAAGTTTTTGAAAAAATTCGCGATACTCCGCGATGCATAGTTTTCAAGATATCGTCACTTGAAGTTGAGAGTTTTATCGGCTGTGCACTACCTACTCCGGGTAGCTTCGAAATACTTCGCGGCGCGACGCAATTCCCTGGATCTGCCTGTTTTTTTAGCGTAGATGCATTTTCATGATTATTCGAGCAAATGCATCATGCATATCAATTTTCACAATAAGTATTAATTTTATGATGGCCGTTCAATGAAATAAACAAAAAAAAATAGTAATTTATCACTACTTTAACGACTTGTCGGGAAGTAAATTCCTTTATTATTGATGATATCAGTATGGTATCAATTTAAGAACTACAACATTAGGAGAAGGAAAACAACATTGCGCATAAACAATCATTGTTGCAGGAAAGACGTAAGCAACTATTTTCTCAAAAAAGGCAAAACTTGCAGGATCCGACCTATAACAATGACAGGACCAACACTGGGTCTTGGCCTCATCCATAAACGTATTGGACATCAACGTGGAAAATAACATTTCTTGGCGTAACCACGTCACCAAAATCGCCAAGACAGCAGCACAAAAGCTAGGGGCTTTTTATAGAATAAGGAAGTTGTATATCCCATTTCAGCTTTTGCTACTCTTATAAGGCCCAGATGAGAGCATCCTTGGAATACTGCAAATATAAATATACCTATGGAGATCGGTATCCAAACACTTGCTCAAGATGTTGGACTCGATAAAAAATAGAGCAGTCCGTCTTATCGATGACCCGGAGTTGACCAAACCCTCCAAAGCCTTGAACATCGGTAAAAAGTGGCGGACCTATCACCTATCATTTACTATCGATACTACTACGGAAGGTGTTCGAACGAGCTAGCACTTCTGATCTTGCCCAAAGTTGCACCAAACAGAAACACTCGTCAGGCACAAACAGCTCATCAACATACAGTTCAGTTATAAATACCTAAAACATCGCTGTTTCGAGACTCATTTTTCTGGAGGGCCGCCTCGCTCTAGAATGCACTTCAAAGTGAGAGGTCTAAGAACTAAGCTGGTCGATTTGGCCAACAGTGTCTCATTGTGTTGTTATGATATTATTGTTTTCGCCGAAACCTGGTTAACTTCGGACTATAATGATACTGAGTTAGGAATGATTAACTATAACATATTTAGGAAAGACAGGAATTGTGATGCAACAGGCAAAACTAGAGGGGGAGGTGTTCTCATAGGTGTCAAAAAATATATAAAAGCTTGTTAGTTGGATTGATGAATGTGTTGGTCATGAGGAGCTCTAGGTTAATGTTTCTGTAGGTAGCTTTAAAAATTTATATTTATGTGCTGTATATTTTCCACCTCAATGTAAAATGGTTGAGTATGAATTTCACTGTGATACTGTTGAAAATATGAGTGAAGAATGTGATAAAATGTATATTATGGGTGATTACAATCTACCCAACATCCAATTTTTGGAGGAAGAGAATATTCTACTTGCATGCAATAGTAATAATGCTGCTAGCGACCTCCTTGACAGCACAATGTTATTTGCCAACTGTAATCAATTAAATAATATAAAAAATTGTAATAATGTATTGTTGGATCTAGTGTTTAGTAATAATGATAAAACAGATGTGATTTGTCCATGTGATACTCTTTTGCCGTGTGATAATCATCACCCAGCACTTTTGGTTGGCATGCTTGAGGTTAATAATTATAAGCCACTGCAGAATCAGTCTATGATTTCAAGAATGCTAACTTCTATGAAATAAATAATGTTTTGATTAATGTAAATTGGGACCAACTACTTATAAATAACATTGATTTAGATCTTGATTGTTTTCATAAAATATTTAATTACTGTTTAGAAATGTTTGTGCCAAAAATATTAATACGGAATAATTTTAAATTTCCAATATGGTTTAGTTATGAGCTAAAACAATTAACTTTTGAAAAAAAAGTGGCACGTAAAAAATTTAAAGAAAGTAAGCTAAGAGAAGATTATCTCAAATTTAGTGATCTTCGTAGTATGTGCAAGAATAGAGCTGGAAACGACTACACAGCTTACATTCAACAAGTTGAAAATAGCTTGAAGAATGATATTAATGCATTTTGGAGGTATATTAATTCCAAAAATAACTGGAATAATCTGCTTTCTGTTGTTAAATACAATGATACACCATTTGATGATGGCAATATGATTGAAAATGCATTTGCTAATCACTTTGCCAGTGTCTATGAACCTCCAGGTTCACAGATTCAATGTGTGTCACACTCTAACTTGGATTCATACCTCAACGTAGAATCTTTTTACATAAAAATATCAGAAATACTCAGTAAGTTAGAGAAATTGGATGTTTCTAAAGGACCAGGTCCGGACAATGTACCTAGTATATTTCTTAAAAGCTATGCCTTTTCGTCTCGTCCGCTCTGGCTTCTGTTCAATAAGTCACTTAATCATGGAATTTTTCCAATTAAATGGAAACTGTCATATGTTGTCCCAATTTACAAAAACAATGGTGATAGGAATAAT